GGGAAAATTACTTTTCTCTGTTAAATGTTTTGTTTTGTTTTGTTTTCCCCAGATCCGGCTATTGTAAATGGAGTTTATTGGTCAGAGTCTTTAAATAAGGTGTTTGTTGATAATTTTGATCGTGACCCTTCTCTCATCTGGCAATACTTTGGAAGTGCCAAAGGATTTTTCAGACAATATCCAGGTAAGAAGAATAAAGAAATAGAATAAAGAATTCTTAGAATTCTTAGGTTCTTAGAATAAAGAAAGTTATGTTTGCAAATTTCCACTCAGAATTGTCACAAAACATTATTTTCACAGGTAGTTGAAGGCTTGGTTTAAGTTTATCTAGTTTTTGGAGAGAGATTTCTAATCAGCATTTACAACATTCTGAGTTTTCTGTACCAATTTTCATTTGGAGGTGATGCTTCCAAGGTAACTCATGTACTCGTATATATTCCGATTTGGGTGCACACATATGCAAAATAACTTCTCAGCAGACTGTGAGGGAAAGCAAAAGGGTTAAACCCTTCACATAGTATTGAACTTAGATAATATGCTCTATCAATGCATACAGTAAGACTTAATTGTATTTTATTGTTCCATTTTTAGACGTCCACTTAACCTGACATCTTTAAAGATTTCAAAAACTTTTTAGTTTGCTTTCACACCAGTTGTAATAAAGTTCCTTTAGATTACTGATATTATTTCTATAGAAATAAGTTAAAATATATATTTTTATGTACTAATGTGTATGTTTAATTGCATACCAAATTTACTACATAGGCCCATAGTGGGAACTGTTCCTTTAACTGACATGATTCAGCAGCCCATTTTTTTTTTTAATCTTGAGTTTAATGTGAGCAAGTTCACTATACACCTATATATCTGAAAGTGACTGAAAGTAATGGCTACTACATCTGTGTTAGTTTTAGATTTCAGTTCTCAAGCTCCATGATATTTCAAGGGTAGAAAAATGTTACTCATTATTTTAAAGGCTATTTCTTGTTGTGTGTTAGAAAACAGGTGTAAAAAGCAGGGAGGTTTGCCCTGTCAAAGACAGTACCTTTCCTGTGAACAAAACATGAAGTGTATGACCTGTGAGTGAGGCAGTTAGTACATCAGGACCTGTTGAAGTCAGTTAGGGGTAATAAGTGCTCAGGGTTTGAAAAGGACTTGGCAAGCATGACAAAGCTTGCCAGCACCAATGACCAAGTATGACCATACTTGAGCAACAGTAGTATGATAAACACAGTAGGTCTGAAGGGGTTTTCACCATACAATAGGCTAAAAAAGGACGGAGGAAAAAATATTGGTTATGACGGCCCTATTTTATTAAATTATTTTTCCATCATTTCCTATCTTATAATACCATTGCCTGTTGAATTTAAGTGTGAAATTCCATAAAGTCCTACTTTGCCCCAATGCCACAGATACCTTTTGAACCGGTATTGTGAAAATGATGTAATTTAATCTTTTTATGTGTGCTTTTTTTTTTTTAACAGGAATTAAATGGGAACCTGATGAGAATGGGGTCATTGCATTTGACTGCAGAAATAGAAAATGGTAGGCATTAGATGACTCCAGTGTTTAAGAAATTTGAAAGGAAGAAAAGTTCAGTATTTAAAAGAACAAGATATTTTGTCTTTTGTCTTAGGTACATCCAGGCAGCAACTTCTCCAAAAGATGTGGTAATTTTAGTTGATGTCAGTGGCAGTATGAAAGGGCTTCGCTTGACTATTGCAAAACAGACAGTTTCATCTATTTTGGATACTCTTGGAGATGACGACTTCTTCAATATAATCGCTGTGAGTGTCTCTGGATTTTTCTTCCTTTTTTTCTTCCATCATTTGTTGCTATCTGTCATGTTTTACACCACGCAATTAACTTGAAAAATGCTTCAGGCAGGTGATGGATAGAAAATGACATCTGAGCCAATTGGACAGACACTCTGATTTTTCCAATGCAAACTTCTTCCAGTGACAGTTTTTAAACTTTTTTTTTATATGAATTGCAGTCTGACACCTCTCAAATTCTCTGGAGTTTGGAGGCTCCAAGGAATAGTAATCTGTGTTGTAGTTTGCCTGAGCTTTTCTATGTTACCCTAATTTTTAACTATGGGGTGTCCCCTTCCTCTTTTTCCCCTCACAGCTTCTTCAATACATTGCAAATTGCTAAATGGTTAATATGTAAGAATTCACAGAACTAGATCTTAGCTTTTGCTGAAGCTTGTATGGCATGATAAAATGCCAACGTAGCTTCTCGCTCTTCAAGCTTTCCTCAGTGTGAATCTGAAATCTGTGTTCGTTTGTGTGAGACGTGCAGAGGTGCTACTCGTGCTTTTTAACAGTGATAAATTAGATCATTGATAGTTCCTGTTATTTGTGTATGCTGCTTAATTTTCCACAGTACAGGTACATGTTTTAAACGTGTGAAAAGAGGATATAGTATTTAAGAGCAATGGGTTTAATTGTGTAGTTAAGGATGGCTTTAACAAGTCCAAAACTGACATCAAAACTATGATTTGGCTCATGGAGGGGGAGAGGGAGGATGAATCGGTGGTTTTATAAATTCTCTCTTGCTGATATTCTTTTGCTAATACTCTATAAATATGTGGTTTTATCATACACATAAATTGTAAAAATGTTTTCAAACTCTTTAATGTTAAGAAGAATTTGGGCCTTATTTTGCTCTTTGTGTACTAAAATGACACCAGTGACACCATTGAGATTGTATGGAGATTGAAGTATATATACTTGAAGTATATGTGCATTTACTGTTGGGTTTTTTTTAAATAGATAGTAAGCAGTTAGTTCAGAATATTTTTCATATTAATCTCCTTTTATAATTGTGTAATTAACAGAATCTCATGTAGTAGAAAGAGATAGTTACATACTGTATAAAAAAAAAAAAGTTGTGATGAACTATAATCTAAATAACTGTTTTAAGTTGAATGTTTCAACTAAGTAATGATTAAGATATTTGACCAGCAATTTTTTTGGTGCATAATCTCTATGTTTATCAGTAGATGTGACAGTTAATAGGAATGATGTAGGAATAGGAGAAGTGTTTTTTTTAAAGTAAAGTTACAGACCTTAGCAGATGAACAAGTGAAGTCTGAAAAGGATTTGTGCAAAATTTGTTGTCATCAAGTTTGGTAGTTTTTTATTTGCCCTTAACAATATTTCGCTGTACAAAAAGTTTTAAAAGCTTTTCAATTTGCTTTTCAGGTGGTTGTTACATGTTTCAGTACTCCAGACGCAAAAAGATGTTTAGGATTCTCATTAACTGTAATGGGAGTTATGGTCACTACATACTAACATTGTTAAAAACACAGTTAACACTTATATGGAGTAGGATAGCAAAAACCACAAAAACAAACAAACAAAACCAACACCCTCCCTCCCACACACACAAAAAACCTCCAAACAAACCACATCCAAAAAACCCACCCAACAGACCAGCCAAGGCCAAAACCCAAGAGCCACTAGCACATTAGCTGGGTTGTTTTGTATCCATTTAATTTTTCACTAAATATACTACTAACGTGATATGTATATATAGCAGAAAGCAGAATTCGGTGCAGGTCTTTCCGGAGAATAAACATAAAAGGGTAATGTTAGCTTTTGTTTTAGCTTTCATGGGTAGGTTGTTGCAAAATCTATTTGAAATTGATGGACTAGGTGACTGAATTGCAAAAACTTGTTGAAATGCAAGAGTGATTTTGTGCTGCCTATATTGAAATTGTTGAAAAAAAGTCGTATCACTGATGCATGAACAGAGATGGCTGAAACAACAAGAGAAGGGCATATTTTGCTAATTCACTTTGAAGTATAATTCCAAATCATGCATTAAATTAACATTATTATCACAACATAAGTAATTTTGCCGAATGCGGAAATTTTTTAAATGCTTTTATAAAAATGTAAACTCTACATTAAATTAACCAAATATTAACTGAGGCAAGAATATTAGATTAATTTTAATGCTTTAGTCACATCATTTTAGAAAAATTTATTAAAAGTGTTTATTAATCAAAACTCAGTAGTATAGGTCCATTATAAATGGTTTCTGTGTAGTGTCATCTTTAGAATCCTTGTAGTCATACAGAATATTAGATTATGGATAAACTTAGTTTTCATCCTTCCTAAATAATCAGATTCTGTACAGGTAATTGATGCAGTTCACATTAAACAATTTTCCCAGTGCAACAGTAAATATGTAATTAGGAGTGGTGAGTATTGCGCTGTGGTGATGATGACAGTTGTCCACACTGGAACGGGTTGCAGGGTCTGTGGTTAGATATATGTGTAGAGAAAGGAGTGCAGAACAGTGAGAGGAGAACAAATTCAGAGCTACAGGCAGACATAGTGAGAATTGGTAGTGAGAGAGAACAGTGTCTAAGCAGCATTCTGTAGTCAGTCATTGTAAGGCTTTTTTATTCCCACTGAGTTGGAGGAAGAAGGGAGTAAATGCATGTATTAATCTAAGGAAATGTTTTTCCTGATTATTTTTGACTTGATTTAATGTATGTTGTCTTTTATTGTTTACTATGGATATTTTAATTCACTTTAATACCTATGAAAGGGTGAAACTGCTTAAAGTCTAAATGCAGAGGCCTTATAGTTTGTTCTGTGATAAATTCTAGAGTAGATTAAATTAATGAGAGGAGGAACTAAGTTTAAACTCTATCTAGACAACTAATGTAGAGTTTTTGAAGGTACTTCTGTGTTAATTTGACGTGTGTTGAAAAGTTTAAAAGATTTAAACTATCAAGTCTAATTTTCAATCAAGTGACTTAAGCATCCATTAGTCTGCAAGATCTACTGACCGCAGATGAGACAGTTTCTTTTAATGCGTAAGATGCTTCTGAAAATAGGACTGGGCTATCTGACTGACTTACACCTTGCAAGATAAGCAGATAATTTGTTAAAGGTGTGTCACAGCTTTATGACTTAGTGTATAATAAGCTACTCCGCTTGACTGAAATTCTGATCGTTGTCAAACGTACTCAGAATTGATTCAAGCTAACAGACTTTTTGGCTTAGTTGTTCCATTATTAACCTTCCAAAATATTAGCCAGTGCCTTACATATTTGTCAAGACCTTTTTTATGCAGCAAACAATTGGGAGTTCTGACTCTGATCTATCAAACATGACCTCTTAATACTATCCAGAAACATATTTATGCCAGCTAGTGTATATGGTACCCAAGAACTCCGCCCTAGTGTGGGCATCCATTCAATTAAATGTTCCTTTTAAGAAGTATAAACCTCTGAAACATTAAGAATAATGTGAAAGGAAAAAAAATGCCACAGCAAGTTTTGAAAAATGAAACTAATGCTTTTGTTCTTGCTTTATGTGCATGTTTCACTGTAGTTCTAAATCATTAAATTAAATTGTATCTTTCAAAGCTTTTAATTAAATTTTTAATCATACTTTTTATTTCTCTCTATAGTATAATGAAGAACTTCACTATGTAGAGCCGTGTCTGAATGGAACATTAGTTCAAGCAGACAGAGCCAACAAAGAGGTAAGGCATGAAAGTAGCAAAACAGCAGAGAGATAGGATGCAGTGCTTAACTATGTGCTATAATGATCTTTTCCTAGTACAATGCATCCCATTATTAGAATTTATTAATTATTCTTCTTCTGCCATTTCAGAGGAGTCTTATGTGACTCAGTAAGAAGAAAAAGAAACAACCTTCTAGTCAATTTGATAGAATAAAATTAATAGAAAAGTTTAGTATTAATTTTAAGTAAAATACTTCAGTTGTTTTAAATAGAACTATCATTCTATTACCAAAAATTGCTGAGGAAGAGATTGCATTATCAAGTCAAAATAACACTCACATTGAAAAAAAAAAATCTCACAACAAATATAACCAAATAAAATGCTATATGGATGAAAAATGATACCATTCTAAACACGTGTGTCTAATAATGTAATCATTCTGTGGGTTCGATTCAAGTTCTGTTGAAGTGGCATTTTTCAGGAAAAACATCACAGTGATTTCAGTGAAAGTTTTATTTGAAGGGAGATTGCAGTATGAATCTGCAGCTTGAAGTTTAGTTTGTCTGCCATCCAAATGCAATTGCTCTGTGCAAGCATCACGCTACTTATGGTGGTATGGTAAGATTGTTTATGCCATGTGAAATTACAAAATAAGATAGTTGAAAAGTCCTGTATTTCTTGTAGTGGGAAAGGCCTGCTAAAATAAGCCATCTGTGTTATCTTAGTACTTCCTGGCTAAAGATTCCTCTCTTCTTAGTGACTTGTCTAACTATACTGGGTCTTGCTTATGTCTAGAGAGAGCAGCAGTCTTGCATCATTCTTTAAATAATTCTCTCTCCTTTTTTATTAGAGGTAAATCAGAAGAATTTTAGCTCAGCGCTGAATTGTACTTAATATTCAGTGTGGTAGTTCATTTTTGCAGAAGAAGTCAATGAGATGTTACAGGAAGTAGAAAACAGCTCTGAAAACACACTTCTAAGTGTGTTGATGTTAATTCTTCTTTTGCATACCAAGACAAAATGAATTGAATCTTGTTATGCTGAACTGTTTTCCATTGTATTATTCACATGAGGTATTTAAATTTTACCTACATATACACACACCTACGTTCTACATGGACTATTCTTCATGGGCTGCTTCCTTAACGTACTTGTTCTCTATTGGTTATTCTTAGATTATAGAAGTATCATTTGGACACTTTGTGGAATGACATGAATTGTTTCTAATCATTTAGCATTGAAGACCGTTATTTGTGAACTGTGAGGCAGTTTTCTCAATGAGTGCTTTATTGTGGGTGCATCTAACAAACCATATGAAAGCTGTGCAACTTATAGACTTAAAACTAAAGATTCAGATATTGCCCAGATGTACTGTCTGGAATTAATCCTACTGTTAACCTTTCCATCGCACTGCAACCGATCAAAATGCAGATTACCATACACCCATATGTTACTTCATGTCAGATTTGGTTTAATTTAATTGATCAAAAAGTTTTCATGCTACGCAGATGATGCTCTGGTTTTATGAACAGTGCTCAACTACTCAAAATAGCAAAGTACAACTTCATATTTTCTTCTTCGGAGTCAGCTTCAATATAATTTCAAGTTATTTTGTTCATTTTTTTGGAATCACTTTGAGCTTTATTTTGCCTATATGTTGAATAACACAGACAAGGTTTTGGAGAATAACTAAATATGACTGTTTTTTCATGTTATTCATATGAGTGAGCCATTTATTGTTCTTTCCTTGAAAGGCCAGAACTAGAGAATAAACCTGAGAATAGGTAGTATGTAATAATTCCACGTATCATTATATACTATGGCTTTGTCAATCTTTATTTTTTTTCTTAAATTCTGTGAATATGTATGTTGTTATTATTATTATTCTACTTTGTGTAATGAAGTTAACAATTCATTTGCCTAAACACTGTAGGCTCAAATGTGCAATTGTCCTGAGCACAGCTCATAGTATAAAGTAAAGTTTATCAAGGAGATGGACAACCACTTGATCCTAAATGAATAATCCCCTTATCAACCTTCTGAATTCATAGTTACTAATAACTTTCTGAATTGTCTGATATTGTTGTAAGATCTGATACTGTGTGACTTGAATATACAGCCAGATTACCTGGGGATCTGATCAAAAACTCACAGAATTTTCTGGAAGTGTTTCTTTTGAATTCATAGTGTTTTGGTCAGTTCCATAGAAAAAAAGAGTTCTTAATGTTGTTACTATACACATTCCAAAAGCAGTCAAGACTGATCAATTTAGCTGTGTTTTCAAACTCATCATAAGAACTCAATCATTTGGGCTGTTACGTTTATTTCTGTGAGTCTGACAGATATACCAGGCTTTTCCTGTAGTTATCTTCGGTGTGATTGCCAAGTGTCCATTGTAATATCAGCGGAAATTCAATGGAATTATACTTTCTCAACCAGTCTTACAAAGTAAATACTCCTTTCCATGTTCATTGGTAATAACAGAGCTTTCTTTTATTTATTAAATGATAAAACTGAAACAAGAAAAATATCATGACAAATGCTGTAATATGTATGTTGTTGGTGGTTTTTTTTTTTAAACAGACATTATCAACATATAACCACATGTTTCTTTATTGGTGAAGTAGAGCAAGTGATTGACCAACAATGTTTTAAAATATAGGCTATTTTTTAGTTTATAGGTGTATACATATGCCTGATTTTTGGGAAATCCAACCTAGATCTGCAATTGTTACTATATATTCTTTCCAGAAATTTCTATTATTTATCTCTTAATGTCAAATATTCTCCTCACTTGAATGGGAACAGGGATGACCGCGTCTGTTACTACACTGTAAGCTCTATTAGCACCAAAATAAATGCAAGCATTTTAAAATACTTTAGAACACTTTTTCTTTAGCTAGTAAATATCTATTCCCACATGCTAACTTTAAACAGAAACAATTACACATGGCTGTAATGGTATTTCATATTGCTATAGTTTCCCTTATGTGGAACAAGGAGACTTATGTTGCTGATGATTGCAGGGATTGAATTTTGAACATCTCAATCTACCACTCTTTTTTTATAGTTATGTGTATACACCTGACCTTTTTAAGGGCAGGTATTTCTTAATGCGGCATTTGTTGCTGGAAGCATACATGAATGCAGTTTTACCAAGCTCTAAATTTATGCTGAGTAAACTTTAATTTCTATCATTTTGGCACTGTGTTTCTCTCTGGGTTTTTTTTGTTGTTGTTTGTGGTGTGGGTTTTTTTAATTATTATTAAATCAGAAGACATGAGTGCCAATATAAGAAAAATCCCATTAAATAACCCTGTTAAAAAAAAAAAGCCCCACCATCACATGCACAGATGCCCACCCCAGTTCTTGCTCACTGCATCTTGCTAGGTTCCTCTAACATCCCATACAGCAAATAAACACAATTCTTAGAAGCAGAGATAAGAAATTACTTGGCAATGTTTGACTGGAGCTTTTTATCTCACGAGGAAAGCAGCTGTTTCCATAACTCCAAATAAAAATTGCTTTCACAGGATGAGTACCCTAGTCTACATTTGTCCTGAAAGTATTTATTGAAAAACTATTTTGCTGTCTTTATATAAGGCTCAGATGTTTTCAAATGGAATCTTTTTACTCTGAGGATGTCACTTGAACATGCTGTATGTCTGTCTTTGAATCGAGTTTTCTTTAATCTCTAAACTTCAACAAAACAAACAGAAGAGCAGATTTAGAAGATTAAGCTATCCTTGTCACACATCATTTGTACTGAGCTAAAGGGCAAACCGCTTTCTCAGCAGAATAAATAGGGTTAAATTATATGTGCCAGGTCTGGACTTGGGGGGTGATGAGGCTGTCTTTTTTGGGAGAGGTGACTGGGGTGTTTGCTCTGGCTGAGAGGGTCCTCTCCTGCCAGCACAGGCACTGCCCTGCTCACGCTGAGCTCTAGCACAGCTGCAGTAGCAGCCAGCCTGGCTTTCCAAGTCGTAGGGAATTAAGGGAATAGGCATAAGCATAAGGGAAAAAGTTTGGTTTGCCACCCGCAGCACTCTGCTGCCTTAGGCAGTTGGACTACATCCAGAGCCTATTCTGTTCCCATGCAGAGCCTGGGAGGTAAGATGAAACCTGGGAGCATCTTCAGGGAATGGAGTAAAGGATGTGGGTGTGCTTGGTGGGGTGTTGTGTGTTTTTGGTTTTTTTTTGTTTTTTTTTTCCTGGTAGGCTACAGGAAGCTGCTTCAGCCTTAGGGCTTAGAGCAGCCTGGGAAATGAGGGCTTCTTAATGTCGTTGGTGCTGAATATTCAATGGGATTACTATGGTAGCAAATGAACATACACTCTTTGACAGTCAGGGGTGGGGTAGAGAAATTCTTCTCCATAATGTGCAGGGAGTGTAGCAGGCTTCCAAAGAACCAGACTTTCAGAAAATCCAATTAGTCTTGAAAGGGAAAAAAAAAAAAAAGGCAAGCAGCTGTTTGGTCTGTTTTACACATTTTCTCAGTCAAACAGTGTGACTCTTGCCTTTTTTTTTTTTTTCCTTCCCCTGTGTTTTTTTTTTTTTTCCCTTCCCCTCCACATCTCTTCATTTTTTGGGAGAGAAACAGTATTGTAAACTGTCTTGGTTCCACACGTTGGCTCTAGACCACTCACCATTATTTTCTGGATCACAGTGTGGGAACCACGTACCTAAAAAAGAAAAAAACACTCTTATTAAGGAATGAAAAAGGCATTTAAAGTGTTGTAACCCGATGATATCCACTCTGTGGTGATGATCTGTCTTGAGAAATGTGTCTCCCCTGCTGCCGTGCCATTTTCTCTCTCTGTCTTTTGGGTAGGAATGTGGGCCTGACGCTAGAGTGAATCTGTACAAAGTGCGTAGCGTGCAAGGAAGTTGCATTTCTTTTTGAATGACAGCCCAGTTATTATTGATGAAACTGCATTCATTTCCTCTGCAATGTGCAATCTGTATTCTGGTTGCATCTTTAGCTAATTATTACTTTCCTATGCCTGTAGTTAATATTTT